AAGAGGTGCAATTGAGTGGCCCCCTCGGTCACCCGACTTAAATCCTTTAGATTTCTTTCTCTGGGGGCACATTAAAAGCAAAGTTTACAGCACTCCACCTGATACCTTGGAAGATCTGCGAGGACGAATCATTAATGTATGTCGCGAAGTAACACCGCAAGTGCTCCAGAATGTTCGACAACGGTTTGAAGACAACCTGTATCATTGTATGCAAGTTGGCGGACAACATTTTCAGCATTTACTTGACTAATACCGTAAGTTTTGAAGTAAAATTAAATTGATTTTCGCATTTCTCGTCAAAAATATTGTTCGTATTTTCAAAGCTGCATATTTTCTAAAATAATGGATCGATTTTCAAAAAGTAAGAATCGATGTATAAAGAATTAAAAGCCCTTTCTGATGACCCCCATTCCCATTTAAAAAAATTTGGGGGATGGCACCCCCACTTAGGGGGTTGAAGATTTTGCTATGCTTTTTGCGCCAAAAGTTGTCCCCCTCAGAAGCAAACTTTACCTGTTTTTGGATTTTGCCGAAAAGTTCATTACTACCCTGTAATGCCTTGTGGTACGTTTTCGATGGGCTACCCTGTATATTGTCCTTCTTTCTCTTTCGAAAGCAGCACAATCTAAGATTGCATGGGCCGCCGTTCGTTTCCCTCGTCGCAAAAGGTACATCTCGGAGTGTCTTGTTTACCAATTCTACGAGTGTAAGCCCCAAAACTGCCGTGCCCGGTCAGAAATTGAGTAATAAAATAATTTGGGTCGCCATGGCCTCTCTCGCACCACCTTTTTACGTCGTGGATTAGTTCTCTGGTCCATCTTCCCTTGGGCGCATCGTTAAATTCCCTTTGCCATATGTCATAGGTCTTCTGTCTTTCCTCTCTTTCGATTACTGTTCTGTCACCTTCCCTTTGGTGTCTCTTTCGTCGATCAACAGGTGTATCGGAATGATGGCAGCAATGACCGTAGCAGAGGCGGTTGAGACGGTTCTGTACGCTCTTGCTGTCTTTAAGACTAGCTTTCTCTGAACATTTTCCAGCATATTATTAGGCAGATTGGTGTGTAGGTGTCTTCAGTTTGATTTTCTTTTTTCGGTTTCGGTATTGAAACAAGTCTAGCTATTTTCCACTGATTCAGGAACATGCCTTCAGTGTAGAATTTGTTTAACATCCTCTTGACGCCATCTGCGTGCTCCTCAATCAGAATCTTAACCGCTTCTGGTAGAATTCCGTCTAACCCTGGGGCTTTATTTTTCTTTAGTCTATCAGCGGCGTTTTTAATCTCTTCCTGCGCTATATCCTAACCTAACCTAACTTAACCTTTTTTTTTCGTCCTTGGAGGGGAAATCCGTCATGGACATTCGGCGCTCAAGCTCTATCACAGCCGGCTAAAACCGCTCCTAAACCACCGGCTATCCCCGGACCTACCTAAAAAGGTTTACTTCAGGTTTGAACAGCTCCATTCAGCTACCCGTTTAATCCCTCTTCTAATTTCCATCCGTCTGTACCTCATCATCTGCATTCTACTACTGTTGTATCCTTCTCATAATTGAGTGGATCACCCCCAACGTATGATCCCACGCCGCCTTGCTGGACAACGCCGTTGCTATGAGATTTCCAGTTGTAATTGGAAATCCCACTGCCACCTCCATATCCGTTCTTTCACGTAAAGACCTAGGGCACTCGAAGACAGTGTGCCCCGCGGTATCCGACTCCCCACAGTATATACATTCATCATTTGGACTCTTCTGTATACGCAACAGGTAACTCCCGAAGCTCCCGTGTCCTGTGAGAAACTGTCTGATGAAGTACGTAACCTCACCGTGCTTCCTTCCTGGCCATTCTTCAACGTCTGCCATCAGAGTTCTTGTCCATCTGCCCTTGTCACTCTCGTCGTATTCTCGCTGCCAATTAGACAACGTCACCTCTCTTTCTGCCCTTCTCACTTCCTCTCGCGTTCCCTCGGCCTCGTAGATCCTCCTCCTCTCGTCCACCATGAGACGGATGGGGATCACTCCAGCACCACCTGAGCTGCAATCGTCGATACTGTCCTGTATGCCATAGCGATCCTGAGCGCCACCCTCCTCTGAACTGAGCTAAGCCTATTCATGCTCTTCTTCATATGTAAAGCTGCCGTCCATGTCGGGGCGGCGTACAACAGCACCGAGTCCATCACATTCCCCAGAACCCTCCTTTTCTTTGATGATGGTCCTCCTATGTTAGGCATAATCCCCGTCCGGCTAGCCATCTATCTACGGTATTCATGACCGTATTCCCCTTCTCCACCATCCCTACTTCCGTTTCGTCCGTCACGACAATTGCCAGATCACCGGCATATGCCAGGATCTTCGTCCCTTCCGGTCTCTCGATCCGAAGAACTCATACAACACGTTCCATAAGAGAGACCCCATCATTGAGCCTTGTCGAACTCCAATGTTGATCTCCCTACAGGTGCCCCGACAGATCTCCAGCCGTCTGTCCCTTAGGTAGTCCGCTACTAGGGCCACCAGCCTCCTGCTTACGTCCCTCTCCATTAACTCTTCGAGGATGCGTTCCCAGTTTGCTGTGTTAAAAACATTCTTTACGTTCAGAAGAATCAGCGCTCTTCATTTTCCCTGACCAGCCGCCCTGATGCTGTCGATCGCCTCTTGCATGTCTCCCACCGTCGATCTGCCCTTCTAAAGCCAAATTGCATCTTGTCCAGACGTGACCTTCTTTCCAATTCTACCTCCACTCTCCTGCGGATTAAGGCTTCGTATACCTTTCCCATCGTGTCGAGACGGCATATCGGTCGAAAGCCTCGTTCTGATCCCTGCCTGACTTAGGGAGAAACACCAACCTCGCGCGTTTCCATGTCCTCGGGAACCTGCCCTGCAGTAGTTCCTTGTTAAACACCTGCAGAAACAGATCTCCTTTCTCCTTCAAAAATATCTTCACCACTTCTAGCAAGACCCCGTCCGGTCCAGGGGCCCTATTGCTTTTCAGCCTTCCGATCGCCTCTTCCACCTCCTGCATCGTGAAGCTTTCTATCGTTGCCTCCTCTGCCACCTCTGTTTCCCAAAACACCACCTCCGCCTCCGGGAACAGCACGCTTGCAATAGCTGTCCTCTTTTCCCTATCCCTCTCTATCCTGGGGGGTTCTGATGCAAAGCTCTCATTACGATCTTGTATCCCTTCTCCCAAATGTCCTGCTCCAATTCCTCGCAAACTTTACTCCACTGATCTGCCTTGCTCCTAGTTATTGCATTTTTTCCCCTCCTCCCCCCTCCTCAGCATCGCGGTCTCGGAACCAACCTTAATGGCACAACATCAAGACCGGGATGCAGACAGTTTCCGTACTTAAACGTAAAATGTCGTAAAACGTAAAAACGTATCACAATACGCATATGGTTATCACAGACAAAAGAAAAAAATAGACATCCAACAAATACAGTGCACAAAAAAGAGTACCAAAAAAAAGTACAGTAAAAATTACCAATAAGAATACTACTCTGCTAGTTATTTCTAATGCCCTCTTGTGTCCGTTCGTCTTGCTCTTGCATGGTCATTGTCCTTGTAATGACCGTTTCGATTTGTTTCCACTTCGTTTCGTTTTGCAACATATGTTCCACCATATTGTTAGTGGTGATGCCGACCTCGCACTCCCTCCTAATATCCGCCCATCTCTCATAACTGAATAATGTGTGCCCCGGAGAATCCTCATTTCCGCAATACACACACGACGCATCCCGAGCCTTGCCTATCTTAAGCATGTGTCTTAAAAGAACCGAGGCCAGTAAGGGCCTGCGTCAGATGGTAACTTAAGCAACCGTGCTTCCTCGCGTACCAGGGCCTCAAGTCTGGAATGAGCGTTCTGGTTCATTCCCCTTTCCTCGCCTCGGACCATTCGCGCTGCCATCTCTCGAGCGTATCGACTTTCGACAATCTCGCCTCCTCTTGCTTTGGGAGTTCACTATAAAATACCCGTTTCCTTTCCTTCGCTGACAGATGAGCGGGGATCACCCGTGCAAGCACGGTGACAGCGTCATAAAAGACCGTTCTGTATGCTCTACATATACGTAAAGCGATTCTACGCTGCACTATGTGCAGTGCGTCTCTATATGTAGCCACATACATGGCGTCAGCCCAGAGTACCGCTCCGTACATCATTACAGACTGCGCTACCGATCCTAAGATCTTTCTCTTCTGCTCCGTCGGGCCTCCTATATTTGGCATTAATTTGCTTAGTGCGTTGATGACGTTTTCCGTCTTGGCGGCAGCTGCTCTCACGTGGGGGCCAAAGCTCACCGCGGAATTCAGCCACACCCCGAGATACTTGACGCTTATTTTCAAAATTTCAACTAACATCACATCTTAGACAGTCTTTATTATTTTTTATTGTGAATCTTGTTAGATATTTAAAGGCTCCATGGTTTGTTAAAAACTGAGTTAAGTAGTAGTCTATCTTCCTGTGTTTGCACTTTGCCCATGTTTTTACATCTCTTATAAGTCTTTTTGTCCACAATGCCGCGTTTCCTGGTTCATTCCATCTATTTTGCCATTTATTTAGGATTATCTCTCTTGCTTCGTTTATCGTTTTTGGATCTTTTGGATTTGCTGAACTATATATAAAATCTTTCCTCAATTAATAGGTACCCCGGATATGACCTGAGCCACCACCGCTGAAACGGTTATATACCCACTTATCACTCTTATTAATATTTTCCTCTGAGGCTAGATACTTGATACTTGTTTTTCAGTATGATGTTTATACTCCTAAGAGTGAAATTTGTCTCCATTTTTACATTTTTCGGACTTTTTAAGAATATCGCCTCGGTTTTTTCAGGAGGTAGTTCTAGGTGCATGTTTTTTAGCCATGTGTGTATCAAGTCCAAATTACTATTTATTTTATTATTTAACCTTCTCACATCATCTGCTGTTATCAGTAGAACCAAGACATCGACGAAATCTATTGTGGTCGAACCCTCCGCTAGTTTAATCCCGAATAGGCGATCATATGCCACATTCCACAGGGTTGGGTCCAAGACCTGCCGTTATGTGTTTATTTATTTGACCAGATATTATTTTGCGGTTTTTGAAATAATTTCCAATAATATTTATCAAATACCCCGATATGTTTCTATTTAGTAATTCCTCAATTATTTTACTCCATGAAGCTAAGTTGAATGCGTGTTTTATATCTAAGGTTATCATCACACATAATTTCTAAGTGCAATTGTTAACCAGACCGTTCATTTTTTCGATAGCTTGTATCGTCGATTTACCTTTTCTGAATCCAAATTGGCTCGGTGAATTATCCGTACCCTCTTGAATTTCTTCTACTAATTTGCCTTTCAGTAAAATTTCGTAGAGTTTTGCTAACGAGTTCAGAAGACATATCGACATATAAGATGCTGGAGATTCTGTAGGCTTCCCAGATTTCCACAGGAGAATCACTCTTGCGATGTTCCAGACAATTGGAAATTCTTGACGACTTAAGAACTTGTTTAGAATAGCTAATTGGGTTTCCGAATCGTTGTTTATCATTTCAATTATTGTTTCTGGTGGGATGTCATCTGGTCCCGGTGCTGTACGTTTTCTTAATTTGGATCCTAATGTTTGTAATTCCGAGGTCGTAATAAAAGGCCCCGCCATTGTATATATTTTATTCCACCTGTCTGCTCTAGAAGGGAATAGATGTTCTATTATTTGTATCTTAAAAGCTTAGTCTAACTGGAAAGGTAGGATTGGACCCCCTAAACACTTCTTAATTATCCGGTACCGTCGCCCCAGATATCCTAATTTAATTTATTGCAGATTTCTTCCCAAGCTTTTCGTTTTGATGTTCTGATTTGTCTTTTTAATTGTTGTTTGGCGTTTTTGTAATTTAAATTAAGTTGTTCTCTTTCTTGAACATTCTTGCAACATTTCTCTTAATTGTGCAATTTCGTCATTCCACCAGTAGGGAAGTGTAGCGACTTGACCGTAATGTCTATGGCTTGCCCTCTATGTTACTCTCTTGAGCGTGTTTATGCACTGATCTAGATTAACATGATTTCCCCTGGAATTGTTAAACGCGGTTAGTTATTTTATTTGACATTTTTTGCGTACAGCCCATTATATCTATGTGTGAAGAAGGTTCTCCTCTAATAAATGTTGGTGAACCGTCATTTTGTACAATAATGTTCAATGCAGCAAACCATTTCGATAGGAATTCTCCTCTTTTGTCGTGATTTGGTGAACCCCATTCTGGGGCTTTTGCATTGAAGTCACCCCTTCTCTTCTGGAATTATCACATTCATTAGTTTGGTCATGTCTGCTTCATATTGTTTTAAGCTGCAATTTGGGGATTCGCGATTATTTATTTTAGCAATCGAGCTAAAACCGCTGTTTTTTCATTCGCTGTTTTGCATGCGTATTTAACGTGGGCACCAAAAGTTCCTTTCCAATCGATGTACACTCCGAGTATTTCAGTTCTTATTTCGGGTTTATAGGTGACCCTCTAATGAAAACGTTTGTCTCCGACGGAACGTTCTTTGGACATCTCAAAAACATCTCTTGGGTCTTTTCGGGAGCAAGGTCAAGGTAGTGGTCTTTTAGCTAAGTATCCAATTTTTGAAGAGATCCGTATGCTTTGGTGTCTCATGTTATTAAGTCTTTGCTCTGGTTACCAGTACAATGTCGTCAGCGAATCCGATTAACGTTTGGCCCTCAAATAGTGGGACTTAAAAAATGTCATCATATAAAATATTCCATAATATGGGTCCCAATACTGAGCCCTGAGGGACCCCCGCAGATATTTTTCTATGTATGGAGCCCCTATCGTTTAAATACGAAATTAAATATTATCTATAAGATATGCCGAGATACCCCAAATCATGAGTTTATCCATAATCTTTCCCCATGCTGCCGTGTTAAAACAATACTTTTCGGAAGTTTCTTTTGCAAATGTCATCACCCTCTCCATAGCCTGGAGGGTTGATCCGCCCTTGCGGAAGCAATATTGGTTTTCAGAAAAATCCTCGGCATCCTGAATTTCTCGCACCAGTCGATCTTTGATCAATGTTTCGTATATTTGCCTACAGTATCTAATAGACAGATAGGACGCTATCCTATAGGATCTAAAAGTTATTTATCTTTCTTCCGTATTATGACGACATTTGCCCTTTTCCACATTCTTAAGGTGGCCATATCCCTGGCCGAGAAATAGTGAAATTTCTGGCGTTTTTAGGTAAGTACTGAAAACTTGAAAAGTAAAACGTGTAGAACAAAAGTAAGCACAAAAATAAAAACCTTGATGTTCTGTTTATTCATTGTTACTATTTAAATTTACTCAAATAAAATAATAACTAAAAAAAAGCGTTGTAAAACATGCGTTTGCTGTTATCCTAACCCCACATTTTAAGCATTATTTTCACGTACTTATAAATAAAAGTAAACAATTTCATATGTAGGACTAAGCAAGTACATGTTATAAGAATATTTACATGTGGAGTTGTATATAAAAAAGTTTGTATTTTCGTAGATTTCAGTACCTAAAACCTTAATGGTTTGATCGTTTTTTGCACCTGTTTATTCGTTTTACTGCGGCGTCTTTGAAAATACCCAGATGTCAAGACATAACATTCCTATTATTTGATAAGCTTTAGTTTATTCAGTTATAATGTTTGAAATTAATTGTCTTTGTTTAAAACACTATTTAAAGAATATGGCGCCCTTAAGTAAAAAGTATGGAACCTGAACGATCATCTCCTTAACTACCTCCATGGAATCTTATCTGGAAGGGGGACTGCTCCGCCCCTGATCCTTTCCACCCCTTGAGCCAGCTCCGACGCTGAAGAAGGGTATCGGATTCCCTAAAGGCTAGCTCTATCATCGCGTGTAGCAAAAAGCGCGTTTAGTATCTCCGTGTGGAAATCCTCCGTAAATGAAAAGGGTGAGCCCGGACCTTTAAGACTCTTCCTAATAATTCGGTAACCGTCACCCTAAATATCCTCCTCCAACTTCTCACAGATTGTTTTCCATGCCTTTGCTTTTGTTCTTCTAATGAACCTTTTTTAATTATTTTTTACTGTCTTTATACTCCTCCATCATCTGCTCGTTTGACTTTCTGTTTCTGTTTCTAGTTAGCGCTCTTTTTTTAGCTGTGCAGCGGTCTCACACTTCTTCTATTTGACGAGTCCACCAATAGGGACAGTTTTTGCCGTATGTTCGTCTGTTCTGACAACTATTAAGAACCTATTTTAATGTATCAAGGCATACTTCGGGGGTTACTTCCTTCAATCGATTCAGCTCCTCCAGCCTCTTGCTCATTTCTCTACGGAGGATATCCGCATCCAAAGGTGCTCTAGGATGAAAGATTATTCTTTTGGCTGTATCCGTCTTGACCTCGAAGCATATGTGTTGATGGTCACTAAGCCCTTATAAAAGTCGGCTCCCCTGTATTATGCACCACCAACTCGAAAGCCGCAATGCACTCTACTACCTTCTTCCCGCGTCTGTCACAAATGGTGACCCCCATTCCGGTGCTTTGGCGTTTATGTCCCCTAGAATTAAGACTTTGTCACCTCTGTCTGTAGAGGTCATCTTACCTGACAACATTTTGATTACTAGAAGACTATTCCCTTCTATCACTGCTGATACCTGAATATTTCTGTTTAAGAAGTATACCGCGACATCTCTTCTTCGGTCGGTTACCTACCCCTCTTTTTGAACTAATGCTAGGCTCGGCTCACATGCCACTATGAGATCTGCCCCGACTTCCGTAGCAGTCAGGTATGCGAGGTCATGCGCATGTCTTGACCTATTCATATTTGTTTGTAGAAGATCATATTAAGATAAATATATACAGAATGTGAAAAACAGAATATATACACATACTGCTCTGATCAGTATCTTCCATCCCGGTCTCCTCACAGACCGTTTTCCTAATCTCATCTCTAGATGTTACTCTGTCCAGATCTTTAATAGTTAACGACACTGTATTGCCCTTCTTGCTCTTTTGAATTTCCACGTCTTCCTTTTACAACTTTTTTTTGAGTTCAGCTGCTGCCTCCATGTCCCCTTTCTCCACTATTATAAGCATTCTGCCGTCTTTCGCTTTCCTTATTGTTCTAATACCTCTCTAATACCTCTCGCAGTTCAGTTCTACCTTTTCTTTTACTGTTTTCAAGAGATCGGCATATGACTTGTCCTTCGTCTTTACTAACAACGCATCCGTGTCTCTCGACTTTTTCTTTTGTAATCTTGACTTTGTTGCTGTCAGTCCCTTGGTGGCCCTTGATTTTTTGTATAAATTATACATTTTATAACCGTCCCTCTAAAAATAGTTTCTGCCATTTTCCTGATCAAACCGGCATTTTCTTCAC